GCTAGCCGCCGAGGAGACTGGACGGGCGTGGCAGTGACTTGGGTCGGTTTTGACATGGAGTGCCGAGGCCCTGGCTGCTTTGGGGCTGTGGGAGCACATGCCGTCCCGGTGTGGAATCTGGTGGGCAGCGGGCACGGGAGGCGAGGGCAGAGGGGGACGGAAAAGGACGAACAGCTGGTGCGACTGTGGACATCGCCATGACTCAGACTTTGGCCCTCGGACGTGCCCAGCCTCGAGTCACGGTTGACACCAGCTGCATTCCCTGTCCATCTCCCGCTTCTACGGGGTGGTTTGGGGGTGGGGGGAGGGTCCACCCTCGTAAGGCCCAAGGTCCACGGTGAGCAGGATGAGCAGAGCAGGGGCGGCTGCCGTGGGGTGAACGAGCCTCACTCATCGGCAGGTGTGGACTCGATTCAGGGACCCCGGCTCCCCCACACCAGCCCAACCACTTCTCCGTTCCAAGAAATAGTTTCCAGCTGGAAAAGCTTAGGATGTGGAAGAGCAGGCACCCCAAGGGGGAAGGGGCGAGGTGTTCTTAACGAAAGGGGCCCAGAATAAAGTAGAACATAAACGTGAGTGGCGAACGGAGGCGCGAAGCCGGGAGGACGTCTGCGTCACGACGGAAACGACCGACCCGGCTGGTTTCAGACCTGGTGTCCCGGGCTCGCCCTTGAAGCCGACATCAAGCCACGTCTCGCCGTCTCCCTCCCTCCTCCCCAAATGACTCAGTTCGGCTACGGCTACCTTTCAATTCATCCTTACTTTCCTCCTGCAGTCCAGAGGAGCATCTGTCAGGAGGCCTTAGGGAAAAGCTCGGTGTCCCCAGCGGACATCCTGGAAGCCTTTGTCCGTCTGTCCCTGACTCACAAAAGGCCCACGGAGTGAGCCCGTCTGCACAAAATGGCTCTGTCGAAACGGGGCTCCTGCCGCACAGTCTCGGGGACCCCAAAGGCCTTCCCGATGCCGAGCCGCCAGACCTCCAGAGGCGTCTCTGTAAGTTTCGTCGTCATTTCCAGTCCCGGCTACAAAACATCGAGAGCTTTCTCTCTGTGACATACCCGTCATCATAAAATCCTTTGTGGAAAGACACCGGACTTTGCTACGTCTGCTTTTGTGGGCGAAATCTCTCAAGGTCTGTGCCGACAGTGTCAAGTCGCTCAGACAATTACACACCCTGCTTAATGGTTGATAATTACACCGTTAGGGGGACTTCGAGAGAAAACAATGATTACGACTGTTTACAGCGGCACACGGAGGCCTCCTTCCCCGCGCCTCGCCTCCGAGCAGGCCCGGCTTGGCCCCGGGGTGTCCATGGTAACCAAACAGGAAGCTGTGCCTTTAGTTAAGGCACTTGCTTGCAATAATAATGGGCAGATAGACACAGCGCTGCGAGGCTGGGGGAGGGGAGGAAAGGGCTCTCTGCCACTTGAGAGGAGTGACTCAGCTAGAAGTCGCATTGGTTAGCAAAATGCCACCGGGCTTCCTCCCTCTGGCTGACCCCAGCCGGAGGCAACTGACTTTAATTCAGGCAGAAGCCCTGACGTGAATGGAGGGGACCTTCCTGCGCCCCCACGTGGGGGGGACAGCGGGGTCCACGCAGGGGGACGAGGGGGAGGCCTGTGGGTGTTTGTAACAAACACCTCCGCGTGTCCTCCCACGTGGATCACAGGCTGCAAGGAACAGACACTCTGTCCAGCGGGGAGGCCGGGAGCGGCCGAGGGGCCGCGGTGGTTCCGGGGCCATGTCTGGGATGGGGCGCAGTTCCCCGCTATTTACACGGAGCCCACGACCAGGGTGTGGCCCCACCACAGACAGCTCTGGCCCCAGGGGGCAGTTCACGCCTTTCCAGAAGAAAGGACAGCTCCTCGGCTTCCTGGTGACAGCTGGAGCAGTGCCAGAGCAAGTCCCGCTGGCCGGCGGGGGGGTCCGTCCAAGGGCTCACATGCGCCCAGGACTCATCCCCGCCCGGCCGAGCCTTTTGTCACGAGCTGTGCTGGGGCTGCCTGAGAGCACACACTTGCCCTGGCCTTTGGTGGAAGCGGGGAACTGTGCCCAGTCGTGGGGTGACAGCCCCAGACCCCTCCTGCCCATGGGCCACTGCCCGGGCCTCTGACCCCAGGGCCCCCTCTGCTCTGAGTGCCCGAGTCGGGCTGCCTGGTGTCAGGCCCCAGGAGGCCACCAGGCCAGGGTGGGGTGGGGTAGGGGGCACCCCCACCCTGGGGAGGAGCGGACCCCCTGCTCATGGCAGGAAAACGCCCTTCCTGTTTACGAAGCGGGGTCCTTCCTCCTGGGAGGATGGACGAAATCTGAGGGAGACCGACAGGAAGGACCCCCGGAGACCTAGGGTGAGCCGCAGACATCGCGTCCACCCTCACACCCCCCACAGCCCCAGCGCAGATGGCGCTTCCTCCCTCAAGCCCATGCCCTGGGATCCTCGGGGGGGGCGAAGGCCGCCTGTCCTGGGCCCGAAGCCCGGCCTTCCTGGGAGCCTCACCACCTGGCCAGGCGGAGGGGGCTCCTCATGCCAACACAGCGCGTGGCCTTGCCCCTCCTCGTCACTGCCAGGCCAGCGGGGAGGCGGGGCGGGGCTCGTGTCCTGTTTTCCCTGGTGCCCAGCGGCTAAGTGCCCTGCTAGGGTCACAGCGAGGACGCAGAGGGGACCCACACTTGGGCTCTGACTCCCGATCCCCTCCACCCCTACTCGGTGCTATGGGTGTCGGGGTGCGGGTGGCAGGGTGCCGGACGGGGAAGTTCGCCTTGAAGGGACACAGCCAGGTGCTGGGCGCCAGGGAGGGACGGGGTGGAGTCGCACTCCAGTGGACGCCAGAGCGAGGCGGGGCCTGCCACGTGGGAGTCTGGGACCCCAACGTGCGGATGGGGGAGCCACAGGCCGGGCAGCCCCCGGCCAGCGAGCCAAACCAGCGGCCCACGCGGTCTGGGTCTCGGGCCTCGAACGGCCAGCTCGGTGCCCTTGCCCGGTCCCTGCCTCCGTGAGCTCCAGCCACGCTCGATCATACGTGGTGCCAAGGTCTGTGGGCACCGGGGGACAGGATGCACAATCCACTGCGAACCCTGACTCACTGCGGGTGAGCAAACCGGGCAGCTGGCGGCAGGTGGGAGGGTCAGAGCCACACGGGCTCAGCCCAGCCCACTAACTGACGGGAACCGGACCGTCTGCCTGGAAAATGAGACTGACCCATGAGACACGGCTGCGTCTCACAGCGGCTTCCTGTGAGCGGCCCGTTCAGGTGGCCGGCCCCGCGCGCTGACCGGAAGGGCCTTCTGGGCTCCAGGGAAGGACCTGGCTCCCTGCGCCTTCCGGACGCCGGGGAAGGGTCCCGGGCAGGGCCAGGCACTCACCATGATGCCGGTGAGCAGGCAGACGCCTTTCCCACAGTAGGTGTGGGGCACCATGTCCCCGTAGCCGATGGAGAGGAACGTGATGGAGATGAGCCACATGGCACCCAGGAAGTTGCTCGTCACGTCCTGCTGGTCGTGGTACCTGCAAGGGGAAGATAAGGAGTTAGTCGACGGAACCGCCATGTCCGAGGGGAGAGGCCGTGGGCGGACCTGGCCGGGGAGGGAGAAGGGACCGTCTGCCGAGGCAGAGGCAGCACCGACGGTCACACGGACACCCATTCAGGTGACCGAAGGTGCCGCCACTCTGCCCACCCAGGTCCCGCCTGCAGCCCCCAGCGCCCCCAGCCCCCGCCACGCGCTTGGTCCCGGAGGTACAATGTCATGTCCTGGGTCGACCGTGTTGTGCGTGTCCTTTTGGTGGTGGCAAAAGAGCTCTGGGTGAAATCATGCGGTAATAAAATTCAGATTTTTCCCTTTCAGGCCGACAGTCTAAACGTATGTGGATGTGATTAATTTGAAATCGCAAGCTCTTGAAGAGGGAAAATGTCAAAAAAAAAAAAAAAATCACCAAACACATTTAGCAATTTCCTGAAGGTTGATGCGTCCCCGAGACAGGCGCCCCTGGGGTCTGTGGCCGTGGTGGCCTCGTGGGGCTACTTCCAGGGGTGGCTCCTGCTCTCCTCAGGGGGGCGGGGCTGCCCTGCCCCAGGAGGAAGCAGCTGGAAACCCACCACCACCTTCCCCCTGGCCGGTGCCCATCCCGCCCCGTGCTTTTCCGTCCTCCCTTCGTCCCCAAACACCAAGGCCGCGGTGCGTCCGGCTCTGTGCCAGCTACTGAAATGCAAAGATGATCAGGTCGCAGCTCCTGCCTCAGGGACCTCAGCCCAGGGGAGGGGTCTGTGGAGGAGGCAGACACAGCCAGGAAGGTCAACAAGTGAGTGGACGAGGCACCTTGGAGACAGGAGGGAAAGGACGATGACTTTTGTTCCAGATGTAGAAGAGCTAGTCAGAGGCTTAAGTTTTCTGGGCAGGCCAGACGGAGGTGTTCCAGGCGGCGGGGTCCCACGGGATCCAAACATCTGGTAAAGCATTTCCACGGGTACGTAATCGGAAGCACAGAGACACCGAGGTACCTGGCCGAGGACACACAGGAAGTAGCCACAGCACAGCCCATGGTCTTCTGGCTGCTCCCCTCAGCGTCAGAGGCGGAGGTGACTGCCGTGCGCCTCGTGGAATCATGAGGAAGCTTCATCAAGAGGAGACCTAGGCCCCGGCCACAGGCGATGAGGTGGCTTCGGAAATCAGGGGTCTGGTTTTGAAGGGCCTCGAATTCCAAGGCGAGGGGTTCGGGTTTGGTCTAGAGGCCTTGGAAGGGATTCGAGGTGAATGCGATTCAGATGCACGGCAAGGTGACAGGTGGTGTGCAGATGGTGAGCAGGGTGTTTAAAAGGTGGAACGCAGGTGAACTGCAGGTGTGCCAGGCTGAGGGAGGCACAGGGGCAGCCCGCCTGAGCCCAGTAGCTCCCAGGGGGCACACCTTAGGTAGGCCGTCCAGCCCCAACCTGAGTCCCCTCCCAGCAGAAGAGGGGGTGGCATTAGCCCTTGCATAGCTGTCCGCACAGGGCATGCATGCCCAGGGCTCCAGGGACCTCTGAGGAGCAGACAGAGCCCCCCAAAGTTCACCAGTAAGATGCCTTTCCTGCCCTCTGCCACCTGCTGGCCCCTCACCAGTGGGGCTCTGTTCCCACCCCTGCCAGCTGCCTCGCTTCCCTGGGGCTGGGCCCATGTCTGCTCGTCCGGCCACAGTGTAGGCAGGTGGGGCCCAACGCTGATCCCTGAGATGGAGTGCACCCCGCCACTGACCAGTACACAGCCCCATCTCAGCTCCGACGTGGTCTGGACGGGGAGCCGCCCTCCCTCCCATCCTGTGCCCCACAGCTCAGGGCTCTGCCAGGGCCTTGGGCCACCTCCGTCCCCCGACTCGGGGGGGATGGTGGCTAGCTGGCTCGCGGGGCCTGTGCCGAGGTGGCAGTGGACCTCTCTCCCCGCAAGGATGGACCTTGGAGCCTGAGGAACGGCAGGGCTCAGTGATGGGCTGAGCCTGGGGGCTTGGGGTGGGGGGAGACGACTGCACGTCCCGGCCGGCGGCGCGTGCACACGCGCTGCAGAGTCAGAGGCGGGATCAGGTCATCAGAACGTACTCCTCGGAAGACGTCTCGGGCCAGGCCTGAGGATGGCGGGATTGGGGCGGTGGGCGGACGGTCAGCCGGGGGCCTTGGGCTGGGCCACCCGGCTTCAAGCCCCAGCCCCACCTTAAGTAGCTCCATGGCTCTGCGCAAGGGACTTAGCCTCTCTGAGACCCAGTTTTCTTCCCTGCCGAGCGGAGGGTTACGGAAAAGGGTCCAGCAGCAATGAGCACAGCGCTCGGCCCAGAGTCAGCGCGGTTAATGTCAGCGACTACGGTGGCTGTTGAGAGAGGCAGGTGTCATCAGCTTGAGAGACAGTCTACAGAAAAATACAGCGCGGGGACTTACAAGGACATGAGGAAAGAGTCCCAGTGACAGTGTGATGAAGCCGCCCGAAGTTTAGGCTGGAGAATTATTTCACACAGGGGTGAACGAGACCGATGGCAAGTTGCTGGGCAAAGGGACACGAGACATTTGGTGCCGGAAGTGACCGTCCTAGCAGCTACACGCAAGACGGACTACAGAGGGTGGGCCAGACAGGGAGAACTGCCCGCAAGTCTGCAGGTGCCCGAGGAGAAGCAGCGGACGACCTCGAATGCGCGAATGGTTTGGATTTAGTTTGCAGCCTCCCGTCCGTGTACGGCGGCGGCTTTGCCGGGGACGTGGGTCTGACACCGCCTTTCCCCGCGAACCCTGAGCCGTGAGCCGGTGCCCCCGGCTGCTCGGCTGCCCTCAGAACCGCGGACCAGCCGGTTCCCACGTGGACGCTGCAGCAAAGAGGCCGCAGCTCCGAGTGGGGTTACCCAACGCCCACGGCCGCACGTGACCCGTCTCGTTCCAAAGCTGATGTCTGAGCTGCTGCTTTGCCTTTCTCTAAACTCCTTTCACGCTCCTTTGCTTTCCCTTCTCTCTCCCCACAAAACACCCTGTCTGTGGCGACTCTGAGCCGAAGAGAGAAGCGGCAGATCTTGAGGACGTCGTCCATTCGTTGTTTGTCCAGCTTCGACATCCTCTCCTTGGGCGGGGGCTACAGGAAGACGCCGAGATGAAGCGGACCCACGCCCCGCTCTCCCGCGGCTCGGGGAGCATCGTCATGGAGATCAGACACGCATGCGACTTGCCGAGCAGGAAGTGATGAGTGAGGGCCGGTGACTCAGACTGTGGGGGTGGGGGGGGGAGGAATTATTTCCAAGCCTATTCATAATTTTAGAGCGGTTTACACTCGTCGCAAATTCACATACGAATTTCATGCTATTTTTTTTTTTTTTTTTTTTTTTTTAACAATCGAGAACTTTTGGGGTGGGAACAGAGTTTCATGTTTTTCTTTATGGGCTAAGGAGGAAAAGGCACAGGTTTTTTGAGGGGGGCATTATAATTATTCATTTATCATTAGGACCATGGTTTTTTCTCTTTTTAATATTACGAAACAGATGACAGCTACGAAAGATCACGTGATTGGGCAAAAAGGGTGGATGAAACACACACGCCGCTTTGCCTGCTTCTCACGCCCCCGCAGCTAACGGTTTCTAGTCTCCTGCTTTTAAAACTAAGCAGACGAACAGGACAGTCTCCGACGCTCGGGACACAGGTCAGATCAGCCAATTAAGGAAAGAAACAGGACTCTGGATCAGATGCAGACCATTCATAGAGAAGAACTCTTGGGAAAAACCCTATAAATGGTGTCGTAAGGGAGAGAGCACACGACGTCAGACAAGAGCGGCATCCTGCACCACAGTCTCCCTGGGGCCGAAGGTAAACTGAGGAAAGGCTCTCAAAGGCGGGAAGTAGACAGAGAGAGACAAACAGGAAGGAGAACGGAGACTCAGTCCACGATTCAAACAGCACGTTTCCGAAAGAGAGAACTGGGGGGAAAGGAGGAGTCGAGATGAAGGAGAAGAAAAGACGGAATGGTTTTAAAAACGTCTCTTAAAAAAATGTCCCCGGAACTGACGGACACAAGCGCCCCGATCAAGGGCCACTGTCACCAGCACCGAGGATGAAAGAGACTTAGAGCAAGGCACGTTGCTGTGACATTTCAGACCAGGGGACGGGGGTGTCTCTGTGGCGCTTCCAGAGAGAGAGAGAGAAGACAGAACGAGGCCAAACGGGAAGAACCAGAGACCCGAACGACCCTGCGCTTTCCCGCAGCAGCCCTGGGACCATCGCGATGCCCGTGGAATAAAGGCCTCGAAACTCGGAAGCAAAGCCACCTCCACACCAGCCAGGATGCCAAACCGGCCACCGTCTCGGTTACGAGGGCGGACCGAGGACGTTTTCAGACGGGCAAGGCTCCCCCCGCCCCCCATCTGCCTCCGAGGACGCGCCAGGAGGGTGTGCGCCACCGAAACGAGGCCGTAGACTGAGAAGGAAGAAGCCCTGGGCTGGAGGCGCGAGGCCGGGGCGAAGGCCGTGCCCCCCGCCGGATCAGGTCCCGAGGTCGGGGACACCTCTCCAGGAAGACGACGCTGATGGAAAACCCGAACGCCCGAGGAAAAGAGGTAGATGACGGCCAGAGTCTGGAGTTGGATTAGTGATAACCACATAGAAAATGAAGCAAATGCGCAAATGAGATAATGAACCAGGGAAAACGCAGCTCTGCGGGAAAGGACCGCTGAGCGTCCACGAGCAGCAAAATCGAATCGGCGCTGACCACGTAACCCAGACACCGCTTACCGACGGGGCCACATGTATGACCTGACTATGAAAGGCGGGCGGGGGACAGACAGGAAGGGTCGTGGGGTGGAAGGGAGCTCACCCCTCACCGCCCGGACTGCGGAGGACACGGATGACACCGAGACCCAAGCGCCAAAAAGCAGCAACGCACCCGAGACTTAGGCGGCATCCTCACGACCTCGTTCCTCTTCAGTGTTTCCACTCAGGTGTGCCCGCGGAGGCAAACGCTAAGGTCCCGCAGCGAGGGGAGGTGGGAGCAGCTGCCCCTGGAGAAGGGACGTGCGAAGGGCCGGGCGAGGGGGGGGGCAGCGCAACCCACAGAACACGCGCCCCCGAAGTGTGTGCGCGCCTGACTTCCACCGGACACACGTGAGACCAGACCCGAGACAAAGGAGCCGAATGCACAGGGGACGCAAAACGAAGCTGTGGAGCAAGAAACCCTCCCGGA